TCCGCCACAAGAGCAACTTCAGACTTCGGCTCCAGCGAAGCATCCCACCAGGATTCCGAACATGATCCTGTGCCACGCACCCATCCCGAGACTCCAGACGCCTTCAGTCTTCATTCGTCGGAGCTGTTCGCCCAGAGCTTGTGACCTGTTGGGCTCACATGGGCACCCGCTCAACCATGGTTCGAGAGCAGAGCCGACGAAAGCTAGGGGACCGACAGGGGCAGCCAGGGACCGGGAGGGGTGCGGGCCAAGGCGGAGAGAAACTGCCCCTAATCTAGGAAACCGTGCCCCCGAATCGACGCAGCCGAATGGATCGGGACTGATGTATCAGGAGAAAAGGCCAACAACCAAATCTATCGGCAAACTGAATAAGAACAGGGGCGTATAAAGATTGAACCGCAACCACAACTTGCGGGACGTAGACACGACATCCCTAACACTGAAGCATAGTTCGAAGCCAACCCCGTTTTGGATTCAGCACGCAAAAACCCGAAACAAGTAAACACAGTACAATGCAATCAGGTCCCAGGGATACACGCGTAGGCTAGGCCTGTAGGTTAGGCCTTTAGAATTGACGGCTTCAGGGATTCCGGCTTTTTGAGGTGCTGTTGGGATTTGGAATTCTGGGCTTTCAAAAAATACAAAATCAGTGAGCGCCCTAAGCCCTAAGCCACTACGTTACAAAATCAACACATACCCAAAATGGGCAACAGCAAGAACCTGCAACGCCAATACCCGGAACCAGGTAAAGAAATTCCCGGAGCGGGGGGAGGGAAGGGGAGGGGAGGGAGGGAGCGCGAGGGGAGGGGTGCCAGCTGTGCAGCGCAGGCTTCGGAATGTGCAACAGCACTGGCCTCAAGAGTCTTGCAGATCGTGGCATTCAGAACCTCCGCCACAAGAGCAACTTCAGACTTTGGCTCCAGCGAAGCATCCACCCGGAACCAGGTAAAGAAATTCCCGGACGGGGGGGAGGGAAGGGGCATCACCCAAGCTCCAAGCTGCCTTTTAGTGACAGTTGGCATACGCATGCATAGGCTCATGCGGCGAGCAATGCCAACACCTGCCAAAACGGACTTATAGGAGCTCGCGATGGAGGGAGTTTGCGAGCCAACCTTGAACGGACTCGGACCATGTCCGTTCAGGAGGTGTTTCGGGAGCACACCCTGTCTTGCTCCAGAACGTCTCCACCAAACTTGCAAAACCCAAGCGGCTTTGCCGTTCTGAGCAGAGAGGGAACCCCAAAATGAACCCTGCTAGGAGCTCCACTACTTCAGAACTTCAAAGGTTAGAGCATCATATAGGGGTTGTAAGGTATATAGGGCCGAGGCTGTTTCAGACACCTAAAAAAGCCCTAAACCCAAAATCAAAATCCTGCGCCCAAACACGAGACTCTAAAGTCTAACAAAGCTTATTTATAACCCTAAACCCCCTAAACCCTAAGTCGTAGGTCGGGTTTCAGCCGGCGCTCGGTGTCGCCATCGCCGGGGCCCTGCAGAGACCGAAGGAGGCTTCTTCCAGGCTTCTGTGCGGGCTCTATACAAGAGCGGAAGATCAGGATGCCCATTTCAATCCCTATTGTCCCGATATAGGAGGGTTCCAGGAAGAAGTAAGACTTGTTGTGCCACCAGGGTGTTGGTAATACAATAAAGGCTTCAGGGGCTTTAGATAAGCATCAGGCCCTCAGGCTTAGGGATTCTCAGGAGGTTCTGTAATTGGGGTTTGCCAGCCTGTTAGCCTGGGTTTAGGAGAGTTTAAGGTGCAGGCTGCTTGGCGTGTAGACTCCACGGGTTTGCTTGAAGCACTGGTGGGCTTCGCAGCTAAGTTTTGCACGAAAAACGTACAGCACACGGCCAAAGCTCCAAACTTCGTCTGGCATGGCGATACGTAATATATAATCATCACCAGCGTCATCACCACCATCACACAAAATCTTGTTATAGGGTCACGTCAACGAACCATCTTGGCCAGCCTCAAAAACATCAAAAACATAGCGGGCCCGGACTGCTTCAGGCCATCACAATCATCTGACCGATGCATTGGCTTTGTCCGATCGGGTTTAGGCCATCTGAGCTCTGGATCCGGACAAACAGTACCTCCGAGTGCTTCAGCGCTCGTCATCCCTACTTCGCAGGGTGCTCCAAAGCATCTATCGCGCTGAATCCCCGTGCTTGAACACTCGACTCCGGAGTGTTCTATGCCACACTCATGAGTATGCTTGCAACCCTTAAGTGTAATTTGAAAAATAGTGGACAAACATTCTCAAAGTAGCATCCTAGCTGCAGAAGCTTCTAGACAGGGACTCCGTATGTTCGAAAAAACTCTTCCCTGCAACAGCCTCGCCACTGCCCAAGATGCGCCGCACGTCTTGTGCGATGCAGCCGCCTCAGCATCCAACACTCACTTTCCGACCACCTGAGTATGGAAACCTGAACACATGTACGGCCGGAAAACAGGACCCGAACCACCACCTTTATATGGACCCTGATTGCTAGAACTCCCCGTCCTTCCTGAGGATAGGATCAGGGATCCAAATAAAAGAGAGTGAAAGGCAGGAGGTTGCCTCGTCCCATACTTCGTCGTATAAGGCCCTAGTTGCGGGTGCATGGTTTTCCTACGGGTCCAAATGCCCAACAATCAGCCTCTGGCTGTTTTACACTAAGCCAACCCGACCGTCTCGTAATTCCGAGGCGCCGGAGTAAACAGATGTCGCCTCCGAGCATACCTCGAGCTGCGTTCTTCAATTGGGGTTTGCCTATAGACCTACAGTCTCCATTGTACTGTAGTTCCTTTTTCGGCGAAAGATCCTATAAGGAAATAACCCCCCAAAAAACGAACTGCAATGCACACTATAGGTAGAGTTCAGGACTTTAGTGTCTCAAAGCTCAAGGGTTTAGGGTTCCGGGTTTATCGAGCTTCGGAGAGCTTGAGCGTTCGGGGCTCTCGATGGGGTGCCATACGTCCGTTTGTCAAGTTCGCCTGGGAGGAGATATTCTTTGGAGCCTTAGTTAATCACCTCAGCAGGCTTTGGGGGAGTGTCTTGTGCTATACTGATAAGGGAATACGGTTCGGAATACGATTACCAGTTGTTCGAACCGTTATACTACCAAACAAGGATCAGGATATGACTTTGGCCATTCCTGACGCTTACACCTTGTCACCTGTCCAGCAGCCGTGGGTTGCAAATCTAACGCTTCTCCACAGATCCGAAAAAAAAAGAGCCCAAGACCCCTTACCCATGAGCTTGAATCTTGAACTCTATAGGCTCTAAGTCCAGAGCCCGAATATCCCACCCCCCGAGACCCCCCGAGAACCTAAGCTCAGGAACACCTCACACCCCTTTCAAAAAAAAAGACAAAATCCCGAAACCCAAACCCAACCCTGAACCCTGCACCCCTAATTCAAAACGACCCGAAAAGTTAAAAATCCCTCAATTTCAGAATCTTAACCCCAGGCACGTAAACCCAGAGCTCGACTGCTAAGACTGCACACCACTCTGTGCGAGATGCCAACTCCATGGCAAAGATGCTATGCCTCGGCTAAAACCATACTTGAGGGGGGGGGGGTGGGGGGGTATTTGAAGGAGTCTCCAAGAATTTTCCAAGGCTGTTCGAGTGATAGGGCTTGAGGGTTTTAGAGATTCAGGCATTTGGGGTTTATGGGACTATGGGTCTCAGGTTTGGGCTTCAGGGTTGAGGATTTGCTTGGGAGTTCAGGGTTCAGGGTTTAGGGAGCAGAAAGGGAGCAGCGGGGTCAAAAGTGCGTCGTGCCAGCGGACGCGCGTTCAAACTGCAGGAAAATGACAAAACTGTAAAAGTGAGACTTTCGCTACCCAAGAAGCATAGCTTTGCCAACCTTCCCCGTTTTGGTTTCTGGCTCCGGCATTTTTTCAGTCAGGAACTAGAAATCCCAAACGTTGTACGTACCTCACACCTGAAAAAATCCTAAAGCCGAAATCCACGGCTTCTTCAAGGGATCCTTTGCAATTTCTATAGAGGTTTGGGGGTTTATGGCTTCGGGCTCTAGAGGGCTTTCTGGTTGTAGTGTTCAACCACTTGCAAAGGCCCAATATTGCTGCTTGCCGTCAGCCCCCAACTGTAATGTTTGCGGGCCCTAAATCCAAGACCCTATCAACCCATAACCCTGGGACCGAGCTTGCTCGTTTCTGATCCCAGTCCGCAGTCCGGATGGTTCGAAGCGACACGCCGCAAAAACACATCGAGAGTGTCCGTTGAAGGCCTCTTCTAGCCCTAGCGCCCGAAACAGCCCAAAACCCAAAACGATGGGACTTCAAAGACATGTCTTTTTCGACTCTTTCTGTGTTGATTGCGAGGCCCCCAGGCTGCACAACTCCGATTGCAAAGACTCTCACCACAAGCTTCCGATCTTAAACTTGACGGTCTTGGGCTAGTTTTCCCGGTCTCAGAAGCTTACTTACTTACTTTGGGCTTCACTCCAAAACCCCCAGCCCCGAGCGGCTTGGGAGGGAGACCCTAAAGTCTGGATTCATGGTCCCTGCTATCAAAAACCAATCAAACATCGCACATACACTACATACCCGACCTACATACATACATACATACATACATACATACATACATACCTACAAGCAGGCAGACATGTGCGTGTGTATGTATACATTTACACAAAAAACAATACTAGATATGTAGCATGCAGCGCTTACCCACCTTATAGTGGCCCCGACCCTCAACGCAACTTCATGCTAGCATGCGGTTTGGGACATTGCAGTGCCAGCCCAGTAGCTGCATGTGATCTGCCACGAAGAGCGTGCCGTTGGGCGCCAGGAGGAGATCCTAGACAAAGCTTATTCGGGTCTAGGGTTTGGGATGGCCTCTAGATTGAGATTGTGAGACCCTGCATTTGTAGTATTCCTTGTCATAACTTCTTGATATCACTTATATCTATCTTGCAAGAAGTCGGCTTTTTGAGACTCGGGTAATTGCTAGCGTGGGGTTAGGGCATAGATCATTGATTCCGATTTGCCTCATCCGTCGAGGGGAACTATTGCCGAGCAGCAAGCTCACGAGTCGTTCTTCCGATGTCATCAAGAATCGACATATTGATGTGGCGTAGAATCACGCACATCCAGCCGCGCCTCCCACGTGGTCAAGCTGCCAGTCCAGGCATTTGCAGACTGGTTGGCCGGGTCAGGTTTGCCAGATCTTGGAGGCCACCAGATGCCTGGGTGTTGGAAAGGATAAGCGTTGCGAGGATGCCAGCCTTCCTGTGGAATGAAGGTCGCCAGACGCGGCAAAGCCGGCCGAATTCACCTGGTTCAACTCTGTCAAGTTCTCCAAGCTTTGAAGATCGCCCGTCACATCAGAACCCACGGCAATCAAATGCTGAAAGCCAAACAGTCGGCTCCAGCCATGGGCGGCCAGTCAACTTTATGTAGGAGACATCGAGACGTTGCACCCGTGCTAGACTCCGCAATACAACTGCTAATCCTTTTAGAACAGTACCACGATATCAGAACTCAAGAACTTTAAAGATTTGGTGGAGAATGCAGTCCGGATAGTATGACCCCTGGAGAAAATGAAGGGTCTCGTGCTGTTCTAGGCGTTGGTGTTGGTGCTTATAAAACCCTTCAGGAGCAACAGGATCTACGATCTGCCAGTTATGTAGTTCTCTACTTTGAGGCCGTGGCTTTGGGCCCTGTTTTAATACGACAAAAGTATGCGTTTAAAAACTTGTTGGGTGTATGTCCAAACAACAAGGAAGGATAGCTCCAAAGGACAGCCCAATATTTGGGATAGGAGACTCTATTACAGTTGCAGGTTCTAGTGGTGTTAGCCGCGAGGCTTAATGGGGGGGCTCAGGGGACTTGGTATGTGGTCCGCCAACTAGACCAAACCTGCACTGCCCCAAAAAAAGATGTTAGATTAAGAGTATAAAAACCCGGGAGACAAAACTTAGACAACTTCATGAGACCAAACCGTCTTTCAAACCTAAGAATATATAATATTCATTATGGCTTAGTGCATCCACCGTGAAATTGGTCCTTGGGATCTTGGAGCATGCCGATGCCTCGGCACAACATTGTCTTAAGGGTTTCGGGGACCAGGGGGTTCAGGGCTCAGGGAACAAAACTTTTGCGGGTGTTAAATTTGGAACCTCACGTCTGTGTTCTTGGCAGTTTGACCCCCCCCCAAAAAAAAAAAAGCGTTAGGAGCTAGAGTAAGGTTTGATATGACATGTTTAACCGTTTTAACGCTTTCAAGGTTGGAACTGTGTTTCTCAAGGTACATATTATATAATATACCAACATCTACTCACGATATACGGGGCACTATACGGGAGACTGTTAGGCCTGGCTTAGTTCCAGGATTTCGAAGTTTAGGGCCGTGACCTTCAGGTTCCAGGTGATTTGGGTTCAGAGCTTGGACGTAAGAGCATCAGCGCTTCAAGGCCTTTTGCGGCAGAGGTTTTCGCTGAAACTTGGGGCTAAGGGTGGTGTAGGAGCCTGTTGAGAAACGAGTAACAGAGTTTAGGGCTTAGGGTTTTCAGTTCTTTGCAGACTTTATGCGGGCTTGCGATTCTGCATTTTTACAATTCTGGGAGCTGCTTGCTCTCAGATGAGAAAACTGGCGATCTTACATAAAAGGCACTGACCCGAACGGTCCAAAGTACCCAATGATGACGTATTCGAATTTCGGACAGCAACCTCCGAAGCTCGCGTCCAAACCTCCCGATGTTTCAGCCCGAGGCACTGGCTACCATGTCATGAACACTGTAGCCTCAATTACCGACTATCTTGCGGATCCTAGAGTCTAGCCTATGACTAGAATCATCACTTGATCAGCACCTAATTACTATTATTTCTACTCACATCTAAAGCAAAAGGGCTAACACTCGTTTCTCAAAGCCTGAAACTCTAAAATCCGCAACCGCAGAGCCCCAACAAACACGAGCCACATTGAGCGCAGAATCCCGGAAAACCCTTTTAGACAAACAGCAGAAAGGATTGATGAAGATCCTTTCAACCCCAAATCCTACGCCCGAAAACCATCCTGAAACCCCAATGTCTGCCCAAGAGCCTTGTAGCACTCGCACCCGTCTCGGTGAGACCAAGAGGTCCAAAACCAGAAGCGATTCCGAGTGCTCGTCGGAGATGATGGCCATGCCTTACATGAGAAATAGTTTGCACGAGGGCGCTGGGGGAGTGGCATCGAAGTATTGCTGCTTTGGAGGTGTTTGATGGGTTGGCTTTAGGGCTCGTGGAGCTTCAGAACTAATGATTAGGGTGATTAGGGTTTATGGGGGGCTGTGGCGGCTGGACATGGCCGGACTATGCCGTTCCTAGATCGGCTTCGAGTCAACACCAGGCACAAACGACTCACTGGAGACTACCGTTGAGGTTGTGGGTCCCATCGCCTCCGCATCGAACGACCACCAAACGAGCCTGCATGAATGGCGAGTACCATGAGGCAAGGGCTAGCCAGGCGGTTTGTGTGCTCACATCTGAAAATCCTTCCATCTTTCCTTTTCCGATTTGCACTGTTCACAGCGGCCAATCGGCACTTGCATGTGGAACCCTGTTGCAGGCGATCACCACGAGGAGGTGCCCCACGTCGATCGCCTGCCTCTAGGCCAAGGGCGATGTGATGTGCCCCTTGGCCGTTGACGGCGACCTCAATATTGATGCAATGGCCATGGCGGTCCACCTGCTGCGAAAAGCAGGACGTCTACTCTGCGATAGAGATAAGCAAAACAACTCTTTGACGTGGAAGCGCCCGCCTTTCACGCCCAAACACACAGCTCTTCGGCGCTGCCCGGCGAATACGTGATGGTCGCGGAACTCTTTTTCGCCATCAGCTTCTTTCGGACGAATATCTTCCAAGCCTCTGCACCCACAGAATAGCCTCAGGAGACTGCTGCTCATGGATACGGCCGGGCCCTGCTTCCCACGTCTTCGAGGGTGGCACATAGGAGCACCTTCCCACCCAGCTCGACAAGCGGCAGGCAAGCCACCTGCCTCCAGACCAGATACGGTCTCTCTAGTTTCAGATTGCAGGGAAGTGGTTTAAGGTTGTCCCCCAAACCCTTAATACATGTTCATTCTACTTAATTCAGGGTCCCTGAGCAAAACCCTAAACCCTAGACATTTTCTATAAGAGCCTTCATGACTAGGGGTACATTCTGCTCAAGTCAGAGTAAGGAACTGTAAGGAATAGTATGATGAATTAGTCAGCCTTCTATATATTGTCTACCACCTAATTACATACCAAAACCCTAAATGCGAAACCCGCAACCCTGCAACCTTAGAGCCGCAAACCCCACCACCTGCATCCGAGTCGCTCCCGTCTGCAGACACTGCGACGCCCACAGGCACCGTGGTTACCAAATCCTGCGCTGCCGAGCTGAGCATCAGGTGCGGTTTGTATAGGGTTTCTGGTAAGTTGGAACTTTAGAGTACTATGCCATCAGGCTTAGAACTTAGCTGAAAGCATCCTCCTTGAAAGCTTCTACGATGCGCAGCCGAGTGTCCACAACATGCAGCTTCCTAACGAGGGATGCTACGTTTTATCTCGCACGCTCTCTTTTGCCCTCTATGTCTCTATGTCTCTCTTGCTTGCTTGCTTGCTTGCAGGGTTCTCGCTCTTTCGCTGCCTGTCTCACTCTCTTCTCTTCTTGGGAGGTGGTTGCGAATGCAGTGACATCCTACCATATCCTTTTCCACGCCGACCACCTACCGCGCTCATTCCTCTTCATCGGCCTTCAACTCTTCAAATTTCGGCTTCAGTGCCTTTTCCTCTGCGGTAGGTGTGGCGAAGCTGCCGCGATGCAAGCAAGTTGAAAGAAAGGGCTCTACTTGAAGGATCGTGGAACGTAAGCAAGTCGGTTACGGGGTTTAGGCTTGAGCTACAAGGGCCTGTGGTTCCCTAAAACCCAACCTATACTGGTGAAGGATCCCGGGTTTCAGTGAGTCGGTTAATATTTACTAGAATAGGTATTGGGGTTTTATATACTGTGATGACGATAAAGAGCCCCAAAATGGTCATGTGGCGGCCGGTCTACTTGAGCGTGCCTCTAAAATGCGTTTTTTGGTTGGCTAATTCGAGCCGCTACCCAAAAAATTGGGGGTGTTCTCTTTAATGAATCCTTTGGGGTCCGGCTGACTTTTTCTGGTTGCTTCATTTCTGAGGGCGTAGGCCTTGCGACTTGAGCTTGAAAGCTTAAGCCGCCCCCCCTCCCCCCCCCCCCTTCCTGCGGCGGTTTGGGATTGGGGTCCCCTACCCCAAAGCCACGAGCCCGGCACCTGAAAGCTACACGGATACCTCAACCAATCCATGCTAATGGACAATCTTCAGGCACCCACAGTACTACTGTAGTAGTACTGTCCTATACTACTGTACTGGACTACTACTGTACTATTTCTGAACCTCTACTGTACCACTGTACAGCACCGGGCCTCATACTTAGTCGACTATGAAGGGAGAGTGTAAAGGCTGGAGGAAAAAATCTTCGAAATGAAAGGCTTTTTCGTCTTGATAGGTATCTGAATCCTGGAAGGATCGGGGCTTGCTTTCGAACTTTGGGTGATCCCCAAACCCCCCCGGACCCGGGCATTCGCGGAGAACCGCAGGCCCTCCACCCAAGTCCTACGACCCCCCAAAATTCCCGTCAAATTTAGTCAAAGCCATCCAGACCCCAGGCCGACCCAAGCCCCCAATCTACCGAACCCAGGTCAAGGGGGTCATGGTCCGGAAATGGTCGGGGGCTTATTAAACAGGATGCCACATTAGTGTAGTTATTTGGGCCCCTATATGATATTTGGGCCCACTGGCTCGTGATAAAGGCTGAATTCGAACCACGATTTTAAAGGCGCGTAATTTCAGGGTGTGGGCTTCAGGGTCCGCGGTTTCTAGAAGGCTTTCAGGGTTTGGGGTGTAACGTTTGGGGTTCAGGCTTATGTGTGGATATTGGGTTTCACAGCTTGGGGTTTCAGGGCTTCCGCTGGCAGAAGAGATATTCGACCTTTCGAGTTTCGGCATGGCTCAGGTGCAACGGTTCAGGGTGTTGTTTGAGACAGTTCATCTATTCAGGGTTTTCGGATCAAGGTATTTCGTCAGATAGCGTGCGTTTTAGGGTTCAGTGTTGGCTTGAACATGGACCTTCGTGGTTCAGGATCACCGCTGGGGGGTTGCATCCCAACTCCTCCCCTGAACAGACTGCCGTACGTAAACAAACTTGGTAAGTATACGGTTCAAGTAGGGGCCAAAATGGGGATAGAGACATTGAATGACCCTAAAACCTAAGCGCCCGCAAAACAGCACGAAATCATAGCTAGTGAGACCCAAACACCCAACAATCAAGTAACACCAAAACCAGCACCGAGCCCCGAAACAAACTCGGAATCCTAAACCCCCAACCCTCCTGAGCCCTTACCTGAAGCACAAATCCTGCCCAAATCCTCAATCCATGAAGAGAAAAAACCCATTCCGCCGCCCCTGTTCTCCCGAGGCAGGTTGGCGGATGTCACGTTCGGGTCTATGCTGATGGAGTACGTGGCCTCAAACTTGCTGCCTGCTGAGGCGGGCCCCGCTTTTTCAGGGTCAGGACTTCGGGACTTCCCTAAAACCCTAAACACTAAAACCCGAAACCCTGAAACCCTAAGCCCTAAAACCCTAAACCCTAACCAAAGTCTGTTGTGGGAGGTCGATGGGCCTACGGATCTTCGGGTTGAGGTTGCAGGGCCTGTATTTAGGGTTTAGGGTTTAGGGTATGAGGGTTAGGGTAGTAGGGTTTAGGGTGGTAGGGTTTGGGTTCTGGGGTTTATACTGCATCAATGGTTTAGGGTTTAGGTCCAACTTTCGGCTTCGCATGCTTCTACCTTTTGCCCGAAGGAAGCCGACTCCTACTAAAGCCCAAGCCCTGAACCCAAAGCCTAAACCCTCGATGCCTCCACGTATTTAACGTAAGCCCTAGGCCTAGGGCCCTAAGCCTCCTTTGCTATACCTAGGGCTCAATGACTTAGCACGTGGACAGCGGAGCTGAGTTGTGAGCCCGTGTCCCTGAGGGCCTATAAAGGGGCTTGATTAGGTCTTACAACATTTTGTAGCTGCCTGCCAGGCTCTGTAAGGCTTTTTGTTATAGGGCTTGATAAAGTTCATAAGGCTCTTATTGAGGGTGTCTCACGGTTGTGTAACAAGAGTTTCCAAGGCCTAACCAACAGACTAAGGTATCGAATGCTCCGACAACTACTCCCCTAAACACCAAGAAAACTGCAATCCCATGATCCTAAGAATGCTTGATGATCTTTTGCTTCGGATCCTGGGTTGAGGGAGGCTTCTCTATCAACCCCCCTAGAGCCTGGAAACCCTGAACCCCGAGCCCAACTCGCCTCAACAATGAAGCCTATTTCCCAAACAAGCTCATTTTCCACTTTGTTAAGCTTTTATGGAGCAGGGCTGCACTGCTGAGTTGCAAGGCGTAGGTATCAGGGTTGTAGATGAACGAGCATGGGACTTAGTAAGTCGCGTATATCTAGAGTTATATTATATTTGGACCTTGACCGGGGTTAGCCGGATAACAAAAACACCTACGTACAACTTGCTGCTAAGTCCACGCCACCTGCGACGCTTCGTAAACCTGCCACTACTTGGTTTCACAGAATACTTGTGAGTAGCTGCACCTTCGAGCTGTATGTAGCATAGGTGTATAGAGGTCTAACTAGGCGTAAAGGGCGAAATGCCCCTCCCCAGACCCAGAACCTCTAAACCCACGCGTCAGACCTACAAATACCCCCTCAGATCGCCCTGCGCCCCAGAGTTCTGGCCTGAAGTACTTATCACCAAGGGCCCCGCAGCGCTGCTGATCTGAGTCGTTTTTTAGGCGGCTCGGGTCCCTAGGAAGCCCTTCAAAGAACTGAGGAATCCCACCTGTTAGAGGCTGTGAAGCATCTTCGCTACGCGTTTTTGTCCTATCGGGTGGGTCTTGCTTCGCAGTGATCCGAAGACTAAGGAGGCCTCTTTTCCTTCTATTCATCTCAGTCTTAATCCCGAATTCAAGGCGGTGCACAGACAGACTCGGAAGCCAGTATGGTGGCGTAGAATTACGTTGGAGAAGCTTGGGCCTAAACCCTAAATCCAGTATGCTGTGGAAGCTCAGAGGGACCCTGGGCCCATGTTGGGGGTCCATACTAATCATTCGGAGTTTAGGGTTAAGGGTGTAGGGTTGGGGGCGTGGAGCTGCACCTGCAGCTCCTTGGCAGGGCATGACGAGTTCGCAAGGGCTCCGGGTTTCAGTAATTATGTGCTAACCCTAACCCAAAGCCTCCAACCCAAAGCCACTCACCAAAAAACAACAGTCGTGCTGCAAGCTCTTTTGTTCAGCCCTACTCGACCGATAACTGGGACTACAACCCCGTCACTGTTCATGGACGATGCACTGCAACCACAACAAATATTTGCCTCGCACGCGAAAGTTGTACTTGAAGGACCATGGGATGTAGTTCGTGACGAATTTTCAGAGGCCAACATGAATTCAAAATCCTTAGTTTGGGGTAGTCGTAAATACAAACAGATAAATATGTAAATAATTAGTTAAATAAATAAATGAATCTATATGTAGATAGATAGATACATGAACGTGTATGTATCTATATAAAATATATAGATAGTCTCACTATATATGTATGTATGCACAGCCCTGCTTTAGGACTTCCAACCCACGACCCTGAACAGGGATTAGAGATCTCCAGCTGTTGGAGCATGAGGCCAATATGTCTAAGGCCACGGAAGCTGGCAGAAAAACGTACAAGGGACACTGCAAGAGTACGTACATGCAGCGATCCCCCACAAAAGGCTACTACGTACCTTCATTCCAACCCCGACGCAACAACACCAAGTCACTTTACATACATCCCAGATGCTCCCCAGGAGCCGCCACATGCTCATAGGCCCCGGATCCCCTTTGAGCACATCCCGAAACCTGAAAACACGACTTCTGACTGCCATCGAACAAGTTCCGAATATTACAAGGCCTTATTCAAGCTTTTGTAGGTGTAGTATAGCACTGGTAACATATCCGGAACCCTTGTTATTTATGCATTTCCCTGCATTGCCCCGTCCCAAAACAGAACCAATTACTTTAAAAGTTCTGCATTAAAAACTTTTCGGACGGAGCCCTAAACAAATAAGGACAACGAAGATTGCTGCTGGAGAACGTAGTAAACCGTCAGCCCCATTCAACCCCTCAGATGTCAAGACGACTCAGCTCCGATCCTCCTACAACAAAAATGTTATCCGTAACACCGAGAAGCTACCTTAGGGTTTCGATGTACATGAGAAAGATTGACTTTTCGGCCACAGGTCGATCTTCTAAATCCTCAGCTACCCGTGACTCCTATTGAATCCTATTGTTGTAGCAAAGCACCGCAAATCTAGGGGCTGCAAGGCATGAAACTGCCATGGGGAAGGCAGCGGATTCTGCGGATGGAGCGAATTAAACGAACTTCCATTCTACAGGGATCGGGTACATACTCAGGCCTCTTTATTCAACCGCAGAAACCTCAGCGCTCCACTTCAATAATCTTTTTTAACAGTGAAGCCCCAAAACTGAAACCGACCCCCCGCCCCCACCCCAAAAGCCAACGCAACAGCAAACGCAAACCTGAGCGGAAACCGTAAAACCTAGGATGCGGTCAGAAAAAATGCTGAGGCCCCGGCTTGACCTGCAAAAGGGAAGTGAAAGTCTAAGGGAAAGATTTCAGGGGTTTAAGTGTTCAGGGTTACGCGCTCACGGGTTTATAGTCTCAGGCTTTGAAAATACATCGGGCTTTAGGGTTTAAGTCGTCTTGAGCTATGACATATAAACTTCTTTGGCATTTACTATTGCTCCTTCTCTTCCTCTTGCTCCCGCTTTTGCTGATGCTCTTCCTCTTGCTCCTGATCTTGCTGCTCTTGCTCTAGCTCTTGCTCCTGCGTTGCTGTTGCCCCCTACTCTTGCTCTTGCTCCCGCCCTCTCCCTCTTGCTCCTGCTCTTGCTCCTGCCCTTGCTCCTGCCCTTGCCCTTGCTCCAGCTCCTGAATCGCCGCACTCCAAATTAGGTTACGTTTAACAAAGTTGATCTGTCGCTGGTTTTTTCCGACAAGTGGTTTTACCGTCAGGGGACTGTTTGATAAACGAGGAAGGGATTACTACACCCAACATCAGACCCAACACACTCCATGCTCGGGTGAAATGTTTCGGCTAGGTCCATATGCTCAGCGGAAGCCCATGCCTAGCGACTGCAAGCGATCATGACCGGTATTTGCCAGACTGCAGAACGTGAAAAGCATCGCGTGACACCAACTTCAGCTTGTGGAAGCTCCCAGAAACGGATGTGAAACCTGAAAGCAACTCTGTGCTTGGAAGCATCAGCTGTCCTGGCACGGCAGGAACTTTCATGACACGACAGCGACGTCAAAAGAACGACACAAACGTGCTGGCAAACACTTTGGTTAAGGCCTACATCGTCATACTTATTCCGGCAATGTGCTCGACACAAGCTTTCTGCGCGAAACACAACAAAACTACACCAGTCGGGAAGGCACCGAAGAATTGGATGCTCTTTTCTGTCTTCGTATACTGTATCATGTCATCATATAACAATTCCCCAAACAGTGCATGCAGGCACTTTGGGGCTCTGTAGGCCCGGACGCTCTCGCACGCCGTGTGGATATGTGCGCGGACGATGACCCTCTTGGTGTTTCAACTTCTGTATAAGTACAGTTTTCGCTTGCACCGTTCACTGCCGCGATGCGTCGGGCAAGTGTGCGCCATGCCTTTTGTCGTGCCGCAGACCCGCCTGACGAGCCCTGAGCCAGTCCCGGGGATCAGTGCCGGGATCAGTCTGTCCACTCCAAGACCATCCTGGCTGGGGTTCGAGCACGTCCACCAGTCCTGCAAGTAACGCCAGGAGTAGGAGTGATGATCCGACCTGGTCTGACGAACCCTGCATCACCGGGACCAGTCTGTCCACTCCTCACAAGGGTGGTCGGCTCGTGCCGCGTTCCCCCAGCCCGTCATGCCCGTCCTCGTTGAAGTACGAGTATGTCCAGCACCAGTCCTGCAAGTGACCAAGCTGCACTCACTTGGCATGTGGTGCCAGGCAGCACGTTTTGGTTGTGTATGCCCGTCATGCCCATCCACGTCCACCTGCAAGTGAGAGGCGCCAGGCAGCACGTTTTGGATGTGTCGTGCCGCACCGTCTACCGAACCCTGTGCACCCCTGGCAAAGCAGTCCACATGTCCGTCTGTCCACTCCTCACAAGGGGCGGGTCCGCTCGCGCCGCGTCCCCCAGCGCGTCATGCCAGTCCTCTGTGGCGCCAGGCAACACGTTTTGTATACGCCCGTCATGCCCATCCTGGTTGGGGTTCGAGCACGTCCACCAGTCCTGCGAGCCACCGCTCGATACCCGATCTGCACTTAGCCAGCGGTGCCAGGCCACGTAGCAACAAGCCTTGAGGGTCTTGGCGGCACCAGCGCTAAGCATAACTATAATGCCAAGACTACTGGTGATCATCACTGACATATTTACATGCATAATACCGTTGTAGTAGATAGTCATGACTCTACTGGCAACAAGCACCCAGCCAAAACAAGCAGGAACGACGACAGTTTGAACATCTTCCACTTGTAGGATTCTGTAACTAGGTTCCTGAAGAGCCGCTTACATCCTAGCAACCCCCCCTTATAGGTCCTTATAGAAAAATTCAATTTCAGGTTCCTTATATCCACAAACCCTGAACCCCAAAACGAAAGGGGAAGAGCTCAGCAAACAAAACCGCCTTTGCCGCCTAGAAGTCCCGGCTTGCCCGACCCCATTCCGTGGGCTCAGTATAGGGGTTTGGGGTTTAGGGTTTATGGGTTTTACGGCTTAGGCCCCTGGTGGGCTTAGTATAGAAGCCTGCTTAACTACTCAAGAACTCTTAGACTCTTCAGAACAGCCAAGTGGCCGCTGCTATTGTACTTATTTCCCTTCCTTCGCGCTTGTCTACCACACTTGCCTGGAGCGTGGGCAGGAGGCACCAACTGCAATCAAAAGCCGACCGGTGGCACATCAACGCATTACGAACCTGTAGCTCGGGAAACTCGGAATGAACATGCAAATTCTGATGTTTGTTCAGTTGGTTCCTTGAGGTTCCTTGTCCTTGTCTTCGTTCGCTGGTTGCTTACAAAATTTAGTAGGGTTCGCACATCCCGTGCAAGTCCATGAAACCACGACGAACACCATGAACGGGAAAGTCTGGCAGATGGTATGGATTCCCGGGACAGAAAGACCGTGCAAAAACCTGAAACTTGTACATTGACCTGCGCTCAATACATTCCGCTATTCAAAGGGTTTTTTTCCTGAGATCCCTGAATGGCCGCATCCTATAAAGCAACATAAACATACGTAGTAGCTAACAGCACTGGACCACCCGTGACAAGTTCATGGTTGTGAGCGGTTTGCTCAAGATCACGCTATTTTTGCGCTTGCTTCCAATGCTGAGCTACTTCTGGCTCTGCTGTTGCCATTGCCACCGACCTTTTTGGAACTCGCACATCGCCAAGCCAAGTCAAGACGTCTTGAGATTTGTTCATTCGACACTGCCTTGCTTGCTAATGCCTATGTAATTGCAACGCTACCTGCCTCCACTCCGCCCACCTTCCGAACCAGCTACAAACTACACCGCCCACTGGCTGCTACTGTGCACCCACACGATCCTCCGAGTCCTCCGAGTCCATGACATCTGCCCTTAAGCCAACCAGAGAGGCGTGGCACACACGACACCAGCTGCGAAGCTCACCACACCACTCGGGATCGCACAGCCAGCACGCGCGTCCCTTGAACGAATCTAGAAATGCTCAGCCCGGCACCGCACCCACGGCACCTTCTGCAACGGGCCTGGCGTGCCGAAAACTTATTACGAGTAGGATCTGCTCACATGCTGCAACACATTCCTAACTCGTGTCTGCAGCTTTCTCAATGCGCCTGCAAGATCTCGGAAAGCTACCTGCATGTGGCCGAGGTAGATGAGATGCTACTGATAACGTGCAACATAGCTGGACTGAAACGGCCGCACGGCACCACAACTGGCAACCTACTCGCAGGGTCCACTTTCGGCAGCACAGATTCCACGATCAAGTGTCCATGGCCGGTGCCTTCAATGGCTGACCCAGATGCTGCTTTCCGTTTTTCCTTCTCAAAGCCAGCCTCACGCCTCAGGGCTGTGTTTTCCGTGAGCACGCAACTGCAATGCAATACTTTCAATAGTGCTGGCATGGAAGGCGAAGCCTTCCCCGGTCTTGAAGGCGATGGTGGCCATGCCTTTCGTGCTGACGGAAAAGCTGAGGCTTCCAAGCCGTCCCTGCGCCATTGCCTTGATGATTGCCCTCCTCCCTCTGCGTCATACTAAACCTCAAAGGCACTGCGCGCAAGTCAATGCTGTCCAGGGTTGAGACATTGGAGGCTTGCAAAAACACCATCATGTAAATTAATTCCACATATGAAAATATGAAAACAATATGTTCTGCAAATATGACGAAATATTTTGCTGAAAAACGAATATGAAAAAGACATGAAACATGAAAAAACAGGAAAAATATGAAAATATGAAATAAAGAAAAATTGAAATCAACATGAAAACAATATGAAAAATATGAACGAAAATATGCTTTCCTGCCGAAAAGGAAAGATATGAAACATATGACATAAACATGAAATAAATATGAAAAAAAGCAAACAATGTGAAATAGGTATGAAAACAATATGAAATATATGAAAGAAATATGCTTTCGTCCCGCTGGGGCCCAAAAGCCAGAACCAGAGCCAAACCATATTGGTTTCATATTGTTTTCATATCTGTTAATTCAATTTATTAGGCAGCGAATATGAAAAAGATATGAATCAACGGGCGGCCGCCCAAAACCATCTTTTTTCAATTTTTTCATGTTTGCAAGCCATATTATTTTCATATTGATTTCAAAAAGATAAAATCATTGGAGGAATCCTGGTCCTGCAAGACTTTCAAAGTCTCAAGTCCAGGGCATGAGCTCTCACCTTACAATCTCGCCACACTCTGCAAATTCTCGCCTCACCTGCGCTTCACCTCAGAAGGCACAGGATGGCATTGCAGCACGGCACAGCTGCTTTTGGTCTCGGACAGGAAGAGACACGGAAGCTGTGTACAAAGATCTCCATGACCTCCTCCCCGGCCGCAACTCTGTGCACTAGAATCTCCTTTCTCAGGACCCTGCCTCGTCCTTATGCTCGGGGTTCGGTACCTCTTCCTGTGGCAAGGCCCAAGTAGGCATAGGACGAACAAATCACGGACAACTACAAGAAACTTCTTGCGGCCCATCCTCGCCAGCAGCTTCCTCTCACAAGCGAACAGCGAACATACCAAAAGTCTGCGACCACATCAATTTCAAATCGGCAACACGGCTGGCCGCTGCCTCAGGATGATTCTTCTGGAGGGTTTGTTGGCCCTTGACACACGTCATGCAAAATTTTGGAGAAGGCTGCGGCTGCGACATATGCCACCTATATACTGAATATACCCTTCCAGCTTCAGCGTCAGCCTTAAGTGAAGACCATTGCGGGGCAAGCGCTACCGAAAGAAAGCTGCTGGAGGCAGCTTCGGCGCTGGCACCGGCGCGGGCTCCTGGATGTCGGCTTGAGGATTAGGGTTTTGGATTTAGGGTTTGGGGTTTAGGGTGAAAGTTGGAACATGGGGTTAGGATTCCTTACGCTGTATGTCAAGGGTGTGAGGACAACGATGTGTATATACTATATGCCCATAGCCCAGGTCTAACTGTTAAGGCCCGCTTCGTCAGGTTCAGGGTCGAGGGCCGCTCTATAGGGCCACTCTAGGGCCTGTAGCGGATGTAAGGCCTCTGCAAGTTAGTGGAGGTTCCGGATAAGAGTGGGATTGCGGCTGACGGTTTGGTATTTACCAGAAGGTTCCTCGGGCATGTCATAGCTGCAGCGAAATCCAAGACGGTACTCCAAGGCCATACACAGCTCCCTTACCCGAATCAACAATCCTAGACACTAAAATCTTAAACCGTGAATCCTAGATCCTAATGAATCCTCAGTCCGTAAACTCTACCCCTGAACTCGCCAGAAGCTTTCAGGCCAGAATCCCTCCGGGGAGAACTTCCCCGTTTCAACATGTCCGCGGCCTTTCACACAGCCCCGAAAAAGATCATAGAGGCCCAATACTTCGAATGTGGTGGGGGGGGGCATAAAAACTAATGCGGGAACCTGATTGAGAAACCCTGGTCCTATAACCCCAAAACATTTAGATCCACATAAAGAACCCTAACTAACACACACCCATAGTTTCTTAATCAGGTCGTTTTCCTAGTGCTTAGGAATATAGCAGCACCC